TGTATTTGTGATTAATGTAGTTTCTTTGTTTTGCGTTGAGCTTGAGCTGAATTGGTGGTGTTGGTGTTGTTTTGTGGATGAAGGGGTTCGACGAGAGAGAAAGCTCTGGCAGCGATTATTGATGCTTTTAATACCAACTTGCAGCATCAATTTGTTGAGAAGAAGTAAGCACTGGCTAAGAGATAGTTGTAATGTGCAGTGGGTTGTTGTTGGTTACCTAGTTTGATTGATTTGGTTTATGTTGTGGTGGGTTTGTGCTGTAATGTGAAGATATTAGTCATGGTTGTTCATCCCGAGGCTCTTACATGTATCTTCTTTTGTTTGTTTCTTCAGATTTGCTACGTTACTACACCTGTGTCTTAACTCCATTAAAAAGGGCTCTAGCAAAGAGATATCTCTAGCATGTCATGCCATCGGTTAGTGTCGAGCCCATCTTGTCATCTCTTTTGTCCTTTACCTGTATTTTCAACTTTTATTAGTTTAGTATGTTGTTTTTGTAGGATTATTGGCTCTGACTGTTGGTTCTGGGGATAATGCACATGAAATATTGGAAGAATCAGTTATTCCTATTCCCCAAGCTCTTAAATCTCAGTCTGATTCCTCGAAGACTGTATCGGTATGTATGATTTGCTAAATCTTTGAGAGTTTAATTGTTCTCCAGTTTCCACTAATTGTTGTGACGTTGAATCTCTTCTGTTTTCTGTTGGGTGGTCATTTTCAGTTAGTGGCGTGTTTGGCTATTGTGACGTTTGTTGGTGCGACTAAGACCGAGGAAACTGAAAGATCAATGCAAATCATGTGGCAATTGCTTCATCCTAAACTAGGTTCTAATGTATGCATCTGTTTTTATTCTTTGCTTTCTTGTATCAGTGATATTAATGATGTTATCATCTATCCTTTAATTACTTGATTTCAAGACCTCAACCCATACAGTAACAGTCCAATGCTGTAGTTATTGGTCATGTTCTACCAACAAATAAATTTTTCTATTTCACTTTCAGGTAGTTGCTGTCAAACTACCTGCAGTTGTCATAACAGCAGTGGTGTCTGCTTGGGCATTTATCTTGACTACCATGGATGGATGCTCTCTTAACTCCAAAGATTGGCAAGAGTAAGTGAACTTTTGATTTGATTTTCCACTTCATTTTCTGTACTTGTCTTCTTTTATATGATAATCAGCGTGAAGTGCGCCGAAATTGATCAGATAGTCATTTAACTTATTCATCCCCAGTCCCTTTGCACAGTCCATGATGAAGGAGTTGGTAAATAGTTAGTCTTGTCTAGACAGTTGTATGTTCCCATGTCATGGTTTTCTTGCACGGGGAACTAAAACTTCAATAAAGATCACTACTTTCATTGATGCAGGTACATTTCTTATTTCTCTACTCTGCTAGATAAGGATGACAGATCTGTACGCATTGCTTCCGGTGAAGCTCTAGCTTTAATTTTTGAGACAGGAAGTATTGAAAAGTTTGCTGCTGAAAATAAGACTGCCCCAGATGGCTCAGTTCCAGAAGGAAATAAATCTCGTGAAGGATATACACATATACTAGGACTGAAATCAAAAATCCTAAATCAAGTTAGGAGCCTGTCTGCCGAGGCTGGTGGAAAAGGTTCCGCTAAGAAGGATCTTAACAGCCAGAGGAACTTGTTCAAGGATGTTTTGGAGTTCCTGGAGGTATTAATTCATTCCTGTCCTTCCGAGTCTTTCTGTTTGTGTGTGCTTCTGTTCTGATGTTAAGTTTTTACGTTACCAGGATGGCTACGCTCCTGATATCTCAATGAAGATCGGAGGAGATTCGTTACAAACATCAACATGGTCTGAGCTTATAAAGGTTTCTTGCTCTTTGATCATTATTTTTTCTTTCTGGTCATGTTTTTGGTTTGTGTTTTAAGATATTCAAGCTCTCTGATTTGAGTTCTTTTAACAGTTGAACTTCATGAAGCATTTTCTTGGTGGTGGATTTATTAAGCACATGCAGGTTGGTTTTCTTGGTCCTGCCTTTGTCTGTTTTTCTTGCTTCTTATGCGATGCTTTTTTTGTTGGTGTCAATTGCTTTTTAATACCATTAACAAGTGACTTTGTTTAAATAGGACAATGAATTCCTTCAAGTTGTTTTTGGGTTCATGCCCAAGAGAAAGCATCTCCTAGGTGTCGAACATCAAATGTCAAGTGGTGAGAAGGTCAGTTATGCTCTTCTCCAACTTGGCCTTCTATGACAGTCTTCAATCTGGAATTATTTATTTGTCCTAAAATTGTGAGATTTTCTTGTGCCTGCACCATCCAAACTTTTCTTCGTCTCAAGTGTCAGTACAGCACGTGTGTTCTGATACTTTGGATATCTGCCTAAGTAAACTAGCTGATCTCTTTAGATTGAAGTTAAATTTGGTTAGTGATGTGCTAAACCTTGGTAATGGTTTAAACTAAACCTCCTTTATATGGTAATGATTGGTTGTTAGTGGATTCATGTACTTTTTTGTTCATACTTAAGATCTTCATTCTCTTATTGCTGCAAATATAGCAATCTCTGTCTCCAGTCTTGAAAAGTTCTCCCCTTCCAATCCCTCAAATTGAGGCACTGTTCATCACGCCTAAAACATAAACTATTCCTAAGAAAATCATGGCGAACACAAACTATTCCTAAGAAAATCATGGCGAGGAAATCGAGGGCTGTAAAATTGAGACATTTACTTTTATTGATGACCTCTGTTTTAGTGCCTTGGTTTTGTTTTAAGATACTGATAAGATACATTCCTTGTTACAGAGGATGTTCCGGTCGCCAAACTCAATACAAAATAAAGCCAGGACCCAGTTTCTGAACAAGCAGCGGATGCTATCTAAGGTTGGTTCTTCTTCATTCAGTATAGTTATTGCGTGTACTTTTCTGGTCACCACTGCTTCTTTTGATGCGAGGAGCATTTCAAAAAATAGTGCTCCAGTGCGCTTTATTCTATACTATCTTTTGTTCTCTGGGTATTTACTTTTACCTGTCCCTTTTTTCTGGTGCAAAAAACATTTGAAAAAACATTCTTCTGGGCTTTATACACTTTTTTATTTTTTCGCGTTGACATTATTAGTTGCTTTTGCGTTACCGAAGTTGTTGACCTGTACACTTCCCTGGATTATCCAGGATAGAAACGTTGGGCACTTTGCTGTTGGCATGGGCGATGAATATATGTGAGGAATCCAGTCTAGCTGTTAGACGTTGTAGGATGAACATCCTCTGGAATAATTTAGCAGATTGTAGGGTTAATGTTACCGTCATTTTTTATGAATTTGGGAACAGGGAAATGGATTTTGTGGAAGGCTATGTTATTGACGATATACACAGATTATTGGTATCCCAAGTCAACTGATCAGATCATTCATTTTACTTGTAGTTGTACTGTGTAATAACTGGTTGTAATTACTGAATGTGATTTGAATACGAAGTTTAATGATTCGGAAGATGAAGATTTTAAGAAACGTTTGATGAGATGGAACTAAGTTGAACTCGTATTCCTCGAGTGGGCAACAAAAGATATTCTATAGATTTAGAGAGAGCACGAAGGCAAGCACGAAACTCGAAGGTGTCTCAACAGTATGATTTTCATAGCATTCTGCACGGTCAAGATTGACCATAATCTTCTATTTTTTTGGGAGTGACGGAGTCTCAAGCATTTTAGCATTTGGTATAAAAACAGGAAGAGTGCCCAAATTTCTCTTTCTTTTTGGTTGTGGAGAATAAAACAAAAACAAAATGTATTAAATGTGTGCTCGTAGTCGTTAGAGTGGAATTTGACCTGAACAAGGTCGTAGGGTTAATATACATGGATTGAGTTAATGAGTATGATCTATTTGAATAATATAATATAAATATATTAAAACTGTTTTGCTTACAATGCATGTGTAACAGTTTTGACATTTTCGTATGATGGGACATTAAAGTTTTATGCATAATATATTACGCACTGCCTACTTTTTTTAGTCCAATATCAAATCCAGCTCGAGCCGAACCAAATTTGTCAGCTATATTTAAAATATGAGTTTGAAAACTGTTCTTTTTTCGTCACTTGTATCTACTTACCGTCCCAAGTATTTTTTCCTTGAATTAAATTATATATATGAAAACTGTCCTTTATTTTAATTAAATAATATTTTTAATAACATGATAGTATAGAAATACGAAGTAAAAGGTTGCAAAAAATGTAAACTATTAACTCTTATTTTTTTTTAATTTTAAAAAATGTAATATTTATTTTATTGTATATATATGTAAAAATAAAAATAAAAATGATAAATTTAGTAAGGAAATGATTAAAATGTAATAAATGAGAAAAGTATAGAAAGAGAACGCTGAGACTCTCGGAGTGGTCTTGTTCGCCTGGGCTTAACTTAAATCAGGTCCAATTATAATTTTACAAAATAATATGGACGACACTCGTACTAATCAATCAGGTGACATATCGTTTATTGATCATTTCTTCCCAATGGCGCCGGGATATTGTAGCTGATACTGATTCTAAAGACCCTCATTTTCTTATTTTTCTTCTACAATCCTCTAAATTTTATAAACACAAATCTAACCTCAAAACACATTCATAAATAATCAATACGAAATTCGAATTTAATTTTTTTTTATTCAAATTGATATATCTTCTTTATTTCCAAAGGTGATGGTTTTAGCAATTGGAATTAAGGCCAAATTTCATTGATGGGGAATTTCTCTCTTCCTCTCCCCTTTTATTTTCTTGATTACTAATAATTTTAAATTTATAGTTGACTTTTTTTTTTTTTTTGTGTTTAGCAAACGTAAAGGTTAAAAATAGCCAGACAAAATCATTGACCAGGATTGTTAAATCATGGTTTGAAATTTTAAAATATTCTTGATGAAAGTTCAAAATATTTTCATCAAAATTTCCCAGTCTCTGTCTCGAGTTTTCCCTACAAAAAAGAGGTGCAATGATTTCACTCATTCATGTTAATTGCTTCCACTCTACGATGACCGTAAAACCATAGAAAACAGGCACCAGGAAAGAGTGTCCCTGATATAAAATGCCACAAAAATGTTGACCACAGTCCAGGCCACGCAAACAGCAGCCCGACTATACAGCTGTATGAAGCAGTCGAACATTGTATATCTCACCATAAATTCTTTTTTTTTTTTTTTATACATGGTTGTGTAAGCATTGAACATCCCACGAGCACTTAGAAACCAGACAATCCAGAGAAGTGCTTACTCATGGCTCTATCCTTCCTGTAGTTATGATTACTTCCTCTTCCTCTTCCCCGGCCTCTACCTCTATGGTTAGGAGTATTTTCTCTCCCTTGAATCTCAGAGCCATCAGACTGGTTGTCTTGGACATCATTTGACTCCCCCAGCCTTCCTCCTCCCTTACTTCCTCTGCCCCAGGCCCGATCCCTGTAATTCCCTGTATTCCCTCTCCCTTCCGTCTCGGGTTCATCAGACTGGTCCCGATCCTTCTCTTGATACTCGACCAACTTTTTAGTTGCACCTAGGGGAATATTACCACCACGTCCAAGACCATGAATTTGTTCTCCGTGTACTTGATTAATAAGAGAAGCTTCAGTGGCATTTGCCACTGCGACTGAACCTGCAACCTTGTAACTATAGTTCTTTCCATCCTTCACATAATATTGCGGCTTTTTCCTGGAGCCCCATTTAGTATTAGGAGAGTTCTGAGCAGAGGTTTCAGATTTGGTCCCTGATGATATCCCTGAATTAGTGTTTATTCTGTTACCTAATAGTTCATTCTCCTCCACCCCGGACTCGGCAACACTGAAACCCAGATCATCAAAGGAGTCGTCATACTCATCTTCGTATTCATACTGTGAAATTAGAGCAGCCATCCTTGCAGTAGCCTTGTGATCTCTGCTGTCAGTGGTGTAGTGACCAGGCATGTCATTAGGCTTCCTGACAAACCTTCCAGTTGTAGATGATGACGAAACAGAGGGACCCTCAACTTGTCGCTGCTCCACTGGGACCACTGGATTAACAGAGTGCAGTGATGTTGTTGAAGGAAGTGTAGATTCAACCAACTTTCCTTTTCCTTTATCTTTCTTGCCCACAGTTGAAGCAGTTTTGGGCAGTGGCATTGTCTCTGATGAAGTATCCAAACACCTTAGATCTTCATGGAGGGTCCCCTCTAGTATCCTCTGAATGACCTCCTCTGGATTATGATTATAAGCTTCAAGACAAGCAGCTAGGAACCCTTTACCATAGTCAGGAAAAAGGTCCTTTATTTGACTGATTTTGGACTCCATGATGGCAGCATCTTCACCCATCTGTACTTTGTTGCTCGCAGTGGCAGTTGGAAGAGCAGGTGACTCCTTAATGGTGCCTTTCAGATTAGAAGCCATTATCCCAGATAAATACTGGAGCTGTTCATCATCCATGAAAATCCACCCTGCAGTAAGCAAGTTAAATATCAAAACCTAAACAATAGCGAGTTCCTCTACCATAAGCAGGTACCATCAAGAACCATTCATGGTTATGATGAGTACAAAATCTAAGCCGACGGTTATCCTAAAGGCTGAAACACATGTTATTCTACATTCAGGACATGACATCTCAATTTAGGTATAGTCATGCCATGAAATCAGCAAAGTACATACTCACAAGGATGTGTAGCTTGGTATGATGTAAAGGCTGCACCACATTTATTCATGGTTTCAGGACCTTTGAGATCCTTAACTGCAGCTCATTCACAGATGGTCGCAATTGTAACATTCGCTTCCATTACAGAGAGCCAATGCCATCCCAAGTCTTGAGTGGGACACCAAAGAATAGTAAGAAATGCACTATATCATTAATGAGAAGGAGCCAAATCCCTCTAGCTTGTTTCCGTTCTTTAATGTAGTTTTTATCATCACCAATAATTCAATACATGAAGACTCACAAAATTTTTCATGACTCTCCCCCAAATATTCAACATATTGAGAGTACTATTTTTTTTTTCTTTCTTCATGCATTTTTCTATTCATTTCCAAAAAAATTCTGTCCTGGAAAAAGATAAATAACAGGCATATCTCCGCGTGAGCATAAAAAACCAAGCAAATACAATTCAAGCAAATGTGCAAGTATAAATAGGAAGCACTAGCACTTAAGCAAATCCCTTACCGGAATTTTGTAAACTCCGAAGCCTACTCATTATATGATGATTCCTATCAAGATTCTGAAGGAATGAAACCTTGCTCTGGTTTTCCTGAGCACCAAGGAGAACTCCATTGATCTCCCTAAAAGTCTGAATCAATATGTCTGTCCTTATGATGGGATCCTCTACTTTTGCAGGAAACATCTTTGTTACAGGGGGAATGGGAAGGTGATCTTCAAAAACTCGATCACTTAAATAGCAAGTGTCCAACAATTTCCATCCAAATTTGGACAGCCTCATTGATAACATCTTTAAACTAACCGCGACATTCAATATCATTCTATCATCCCCTCCTGTCAAGATGACTCGAAAGCCTCGCTGCAAAGCTGGAATTAAAGTATCATGCAATCTTGCAAGGGTGATCAGCATTTCCTCATTCCCATGACTGTTTGGAGACAGGAATTTAGTATGAGAGAAGAAAGAATTTCTTGCTATCATGATGAGAAGAGAAGCTACGGATCTAATAAAGTACCAGCAGGAGTACTACTACACTTGTGACCCACCAGCAGATTATTGTTGGCATATTAAAAACATTAAATAAAAAAGGAAAAACCAAGCCCCGTGTGATATGCAACCACAACTCTTTGTGATGAAAGAAACTCCTGGCTCTTCTAATAAATAAACTGAACAATGCAAGGCTTAAATAGGTACCTCATTTCAACAGGGCATGAAAAGAACACAGCTGCTGATTCATATGCTGTAACAAAAGCATCCATGGAGACAATTGCATCATTTATAAAGTCCATCACCTGAAAAGGGAACCAAAAATGATAATATAGCACTTGATCAACCTTAACATCAGAGAAGGACAGAAATGCAATTACATCATGACTCTCCATCACAGTGGAATCAATTTGTGACAGTATGGAATTAATGTTTCAGCCAATTATCTTATGCAACGTCAATTTCAGTCTTCTTCCATGGAAATCTTTCAAGTTGGAAGGGGACAAGACCCTGTAATTTGAAGCAAAAAACACTTGTTCTTTTTTTAATGAAATATGAGACATGAAAACATGCCATTCTCTTGCAAGTCAATGAAAAAAAGCAGTAGTTAAGCAAGGAAAAAAAATCACTGTGTCATTAATTTACCGACAAAAAAACAGAAAAGAACTCACTTCTAAGTAATCAGTTAGAAGCGGGCTGGATCGATGGTCTTCATGGCTTCCAGCAGAAAATAATACCTATAAAATATCAGTACAAAAGTTTATTGTGTGTACCATAGAAAGTAAGCATACTTCCACTTCATGATTAAACTATTAGAAAGCTCCATGGATGATTTCATTTCTAACCCTGTTATTTATTTTGTTTCGGCGTATCTATTTCACATTGCTACTTTTCCACTGCCCAATTGACAATCATAGAATATTGCTGATCTAATTGCAACTTCATAAAATTTTACCTCCAACTGATAACCCCGATTTGATTCCAAGTACTTCCCCCATAAATTTCACCACCTTATGTGTGATAGAACGTAGGTTCTAAAAAGGGTCACTGTAGCAATTCTACCCATTTATGCCAAAACCCCCTTGTCCTAGGCCTTGCTTAGTTTCTGATGTGTGTTCTATTTTTTATAAAGTATTCCTGCAGAGTTTCTGACTTCATCTATCAAAATCATATCCATGTGGTATTATACCTCTATCCATGTTCAATCACTTTCTACACTTATTTCCTTAGTGATTCATTGATTCAATGCCTCGGTACTTCATGCAACATTGTATATGAAGTCATGGAATGCCATAAATTCTTAAATAGTAACTGACAAAAGTGGTGCAAAGAAAATAAGTTGAAGTAACCAAGGTCAACTGGGGGTCCCAAGAAACAAATGCTGGGAAATCTGTGCCCAGACATCTTTCCATGCATGAAATATAGAAATACTCCCTCACACATAACTACAAATCATTAGAGTATCCTAATATGGAAAGTCTAGAAAAGCACCTCCAAAGATGAGATGCAACGTTGATGCATTGTGTGAATGATGCCCAGGAAATGGGTCACTAAAGTGGCCAGATCATCATGGAGCCAAGGCTGGGCTTTCAAGGCATTCTTGACCTGAGAGGGAAAAAAATGTGTATGAGAGAGAATTTGACTAAAACTCCATTGAAGGCATCACACGAACAAGCAGTGTCCACATACAATGCCAACCCTGTAAATGTCAGCTTTCATAAGCATCCATCAAAGGATGAACTCCAAATACTTTTAACAGAAACTATTTCAAAAAATTTCCACTTTGACAGTATGAGGCAACTTAAGGAGTGAAAATTCTAGTTCTGTCTGCAGATTTGTGAGCAACATCATCCTTTTTGTGGCCTTTGTTGCTAATAGATATACATCCTTTTTTAGGGCCATTCAAATTGAATCGAAGTGAAACATCCAGGTCCTTGAAGGCCAATATTGTACACAAAAATAAAGTAATTGGTGTCTTGATGATCTGTTGCTAAAATACATTGCAATCAACAAGGAAAAACCAAATCTTGAAGAAACAAATGCATTCCCTTGGTATTTGAACCCCCCAGTAAAAAGCCATGCATTGTGTCTCATGATTGAAAAAATACTTTTCTGGCATCCCACGCAAAATATCACATTTCCTTTTCTGACATGCATTAACTTTATCCTGCACCAGGACTAAAACTGCAAACCAAATCAAGTTAAAATTCACTAAAAGCAAGGGTCAAATAAGGTGTCCTTAACTTCATTAGTATAAACAAAAAAGAGGACAGAATTAAGTTTCTCTAGATAGTATAGCCTTGGTAAAGAATGCTGTAGCTTTAAGTTGAAAAAGTTTCTCATCCATTGGAGAAGAAACACAAAGAAGTTGGAAGTCTTTTTTTCACACACTTACCAACAATCCGGTCAGTTCTTCATTTTCATGACCGTAAATGGAACATATATCCAACAACTTAGGCAAGTCCAGTAACTTCTTTTCCTGCAAGAGGACTACATTCATAATTTGTGAGAAAAATGCACACGAAAAATTACAACCACATTTATGTCTATATGAAGTCCAATCATGTGGCACTTGATATATCAGGATCTAAGTTTACAAAACCCACCAGTATGATCCTTTGAGTTCAAGCTTTCCGTGGCCTCGACACCCGGAGCCCTATTGGAAGATCTGCAGCAGCAACAGCATCAAACTCAAAGTCAGAACAACAAATCAAAAGGAGGGACACCAGTTGTCAATACAGAAAATGAGAACTTACATGCGATACAATACCATGAAAACACGGCGACATAAGTCAAGCTCTCCAACAATTACCCCTGCAACAATTCCTTTGACTCCACGATGTGGGAAATCATACCATCTGCTCCTAAATTTCAAGAAGCTATCCAGAAAATCATGCAAAGACACATCACTAGCCACTGAGAAAACAGAAAATAATAAAGATAATCAGAGAAAATTGTCCTTTACAAGAAAAAATTATATATTAAACTGCTCCAGAAATAATCCCAGCTATACCAAAAATAATTAGAAACCTTAAAAGTACAAATAATAATTATTTTTTTCAGGGGGGGAAAGCAAGAGAGAGTTGCAAATAATTGAGCTACCTTCTTTCCAAAATTCTTTAGGTTTCAACTTGAGTAACCGAGATAATTCTCTACTCAAAAGATCAACGACTCTCTGTGATTCTACTGGATCCAACCCTCCTTCATCGGCACCGAGTCCCGCAGCCACAGCCTCATCCTGCGGCAAGTAAGTTACAAATTTTCCACCGCCCTGAACACCAGCTACAGCTTTTCTAGACATCCACGCCCAGTCATCTCTCATTTGAATCCTACTCGACGACTCCCCTGCGCCAATATTACCGCTCGATGCTGGAGCGGCGGCGGCGGCATCGGATTGACTTGAGAGAGATTGCCTTAGAGAATCGGATAGAGTAGGGTTGGAGTTGGGGTTTTGATTTTTGGGGACGAATTTGGTTTGTGGTTTGGAGAAATTACTGCTGTTATTGCTTCTCCATTCTTGTTGTTGCTGCCTGTTGTTGTTTTGAGAGTAACGGCGTGACATGATTTTCTTTATCCAGTTAACAGATGCAATGCACTAAGAAGAGAAGCAGAGATGTCAGCGTGGAGAGGAAGGCTGGATGGAAGGTTTGGCTCTATCTCTCTCGGTTAAAACTTATAAGGTTCCCGGTTGCGATGCGATGCGATGACTGATGAATGAAGGGCGTGTATAGTCGCGCTCGCGCGTTCCAAGGTTTTGCTTGCATACCACGTGTTTCTTTTCTTTTTCTTTTTTAAATTTGCATAGTTAAAAAAATATTTTGATGTAAATATTTAATCTCAGTGTATTGCATATAAGTTTTTTTTACTAAAAGGAATTGTAACATATAACGCAAATTATATAGTATATTTATTTTAGTTTTTTTCACATTAATTTTCTTAAAATGAATTAAAAATAATTAAACATATAACATCCTATTAATATGAGAAACACAATACTTCCTGGACATTTAAAGAAAAATAAATAAATACAAATACAAAAAATAAATTTTAAATAAAAATATTCTTTTAATGTTTTTGATAGATTATAATTCTATCACTCTTCACCTTAGGTCTATCTTTTTAGTCCCATTCCAAGCACCATAAGATTTTCCAATTATACACATTTTAAAATATAAGAATATCTTAAGTATTTTTTTTCTAATTTATTAGCTTATATTTTTTAGTCCTTGTAGTTTACTGAAATAATTAATTAATCCTTACATAATAAAAAATAATTTAATGGTCTTTTGAAAGCAAAAATCCCAAAAAACAAACACCAGCTTCCAATTATTACAATATTCTCGACTAAGAAAATAAATGATCCATCCGAGCAAAATCTATTTCAAAATTATTAATTATTAAATATCTAATTCAAGATATTATCTCTACGATAAAAAGACCCTAACTGGGGCCTCAGCAAAAGATATCCTAACTTACAGAACACGAGTTGAGTAAAGCTAGCGGAAAAAAAAATTAGTTCTCTTTAAACCAATATCATTGGACTTCAATCTCATGGTGCCGTCGTCGCCCCCGAGCCTGCCGCCAAATGAAACCGTAGAGCTCAGGTTGCGACAAGTCCATTGCACCATCACCACTCGGCTGTCCAAAACTTGTATAAGACTTTGTTTTGAGCCTATTGGGCTGAGTTGTTGACTGGAGGGAGGATAAAGGGCCCAGCTGAAGTTTGGATTTTGTGGGAAATGATTTTTAGAGGTTTTGTTGCAGCAAACAGATTTGCGTTGAATTGCTGGAAAATTTCACGCAGTAGAAGTTACATTACAGTACTTACATTTTTCAGATCATTCAATAGAGTCACTGCATCACAATTTTTCCTAGAAAAGCTGGATATTTCTGGAAAAACAATTTGGCCAGTAAGACATCAACGGGAAAAGGACAGACAGGGATCAAGACATTTACAGATGCAAAAGCATAAAGATTATCTAATAATTTCTCATCCTAGAGTGACTGATTAATTCATCTTGATAAATTATAGGGACTAACTTATAATTAACTCAAAGGGAAAATGCTATGTACAAAGCAGATACTTTGATTTCTCAGCACACCAGAAGAGCATTGGATCTTGATTACTGTCTTGCAATGAACCCTGGGCTGATAAGCAGATACTTCTGTTTAAAATCTATCAAGATGCCTGCTGATAAAAAAAACCACATTACTGTTTCTAAGCTCAAAAAACATTTCAATGGTGGAATTGAGACTATGTTACAAGCTTCCTGCTGATAAAAATCTTCAAACCCAGTCGAAGTTTGTTTCTTTTGGCAAAACTAAACCAATCAGGCAGTTTGATGTATCGGGAGCAATTGAGAGCATGGCACAAGTATCTTGGGAGTAGGGAAGGATGAAGAGAATCCTTGTCCATATGGATTTCCCAGATGGGATTTTAATTACTCCTGCACATTCCCTCTGCTTCAAATATGATATGAAATCCTGAAACTGTAGAATTGAAAGTTTAGCACAACAGAGCACGAAGCGGTGGATCCTAATCATGCACATCACAAGTTAATTATCAGAGACAGTGTATGAGTTATATAGAGACACTGATCCTAGAATGCGTGCAGAAAAATACACCACACCATCCTAGATTAAGACCCGGCTGGTGATAATGCGTGGGCCTTAATTAGCACTGAATAAAAAGTACACATTCTGTAACTCGAAAATAAAAATGGAGCTTTAGGTACACATAGTAAATGCAAGCCTGTGCAAAGTGTCAATGCAAAATCGGAGCAATATTGGATAAATTTTCAATTACCAAGATGAAACATACAAGGGCACAATGAAAATAAACAGGTAGTATAACTTACACCCTTTTGGTCATTTGCAGACAAGGGGATCAATCGGCATACTTCCCTCTGCATCAAACATTAAAAACCCATAAAAATCATAGCACAGACAAAAAGAAGAATCGTGATGGAAAGAATCAACTGGTGAACAGAATACAATCAAGGAGACGCCATGCAAAATAATCTCAATGATCACTGGTAGCCCTCTCCTTGTTTAATTAACATTAGTCTATTGATATTTTAATACTTTATCCATTAAAAACAGCAAGAATAAATCATTTTCATTCTTGTGAACTATATAGTGTGTGCTCAAGAACAATGTGTGACTGTAGAATGCCATTGGATAATCAGACATCGCTCAAAAGATAATTATTTATTTTGGTAGCATACTTTTAAAATTTTAAACTCCATCTCATGTTGTTTTTAAGTCTTGTAATCATAAGAATCCCAGAGGGTAATTCCTTTGAATAATGGCCTGCACTTCCTAACATTTTCAAACTCAACTGCCTTGATCTCGAAATCTCTTCACCTTGAGGTCTCTTAAGAAATCCTTGGAACACTAAAGGGGGGGGGGGGTTCAGTTCATATTGTTTTGAGGATCAAAGGAAGCTTGCCCCTGAAAATGATCAGGAACAGCAAAACTATATTCAAAAACAAAAAAGTCCAAATGAACCCTGTTTTGAGAGGCATTCATTCAGCACATCAATCACAGGTCCTTAAGGCGGATAACTGTGGGAAGCTGTGACAAACTGAGTAACATCAAATGGCCAAGGAGCAATGCTGGTTTTATAATATGAAAGTCACATGCTAAATTTCAGAGAAAAAATAAATAAATAATTCAATCCATGCATGAAAATCAACATAAAAGGGAGAATTTCAGCACAGATTCACAGACTCACTTTGTGTGGTGGGGTACTTGTAAATGTTGATTTTACATGCCGAAAAACTGTGCGTTTCGTCATGTCTAGTTTAGCAGGCCATCTGCACCAGGAATAAGTCGGAAAGATCACTATAAATTCATCTTATTTTACAAAACATAATCAGAAGAGAAGGAGTATACAGGAAATTGAAGTTCTACCCAGCAGGTTCAGACATGGCATCTGAATACTTGCAAATATCTGAATCCACTCTTTGCGCAAAAATTTTACAGTAATGAACCCCGCTTTTGCATAATGTGCCCTGCCACTGATATAACATAGAGTTTCCAGAACTTTCTGCATCTGTTGATTCTGCAACAGGTGGAGGTGGAGGTGGGGAACTAGGTGGAGGAGGAGCAGGTGGTGGAGATGGAGGCAGTGGTGGGGGTATTTCAGGCTGAAGTGGCATAGATGATAAAGTTGGCGGTACAGCAGATCTGGGAAACATTTGGTCCAAGTGCTGCACTGGGGCCCGCTGTACCTGTGCTAGTGGAGTAACAGAAGCAGGTATAAAAGGAGATGCAACAGAGCTTCCTTGAAAGCTATTTGACATTGTTGCTGGTGAGATTGGGTTCAGTGCAACATGATTTAAGCCTCGTGGATCCCATGAATTGTTTGGAGGAAGGTAAACGGGTCGCATAAATGTAGGTGGCTGGAATTGCTGTGGTGGCGGTATTGGTGGTCCATGTGTTCCTGTAGGAGCACATGAAATGCTTGCAGGTGGCTGGAGCAGCTCAATTTCATTGTTCTTGTACATCCACATCGGTTCAGGTGCAGCAGGAACAGCATGACCACCACCTATATGGAAGTGTTAATATTTCAGCGAAGCCAGGAACAAAGAACTAAAGTAAGAACATTAAAAAAAGAAATTTCACCTCCTGGCGATGGATCCACCACCCCAAATGAATGTACAACTTGTACAGGAGTTGCGTGATTCTCTGATTTTATTTGTGGGGATACAAGCTCTGTGGAGCCACCTTCAGGCTTGATTGAGAATGCAGCAGCATTCTTTTCTGGCTGACTGTTCAAACGAAAGGGAAATTTTCTCATAAGGTTCAAAGACACTTACGCTAAGCAAAGATATTGTTATCTCATGCAAGGACAAAAGTTGGAAGGATCTAAAACCTAAACATGCACAACACTATTAGCTCAAACAATAAAACTTGATACATATAAGAACCAGGCACTGCGTAGAACAAGACAGTTAACTACATAGTGTCACAAAGATTTTGTAAACATGTGAATGGCCCCTGCTGGGTGATATACATGTTTTAGAGGGATGACGGGAGGTTGGGGAGGTAACGGGCCTTCAGGCCATACAAAACATAACAGTTCCAATCAAATCAGCCACTTCCAGTCAAAGTCCTATGTTTGACACTGAATATTTTAGTTTTTACTTTGTATTTGAACTTAAAAAATGACCCATGTGCAAAGTGATCAATTCAAAAACTTGTCGCCCTTTGCTGGCAATGGAAGATATCCTAAACAAATTTCTCAAGCTTACATACTGCAGCAGTATGAAGTAAATGACAGTTAAAAAATAAACATTCAACTATATTTTGTTAGAAAATTTTAGATAATGTATGAGACATAAACAAGTATGAGACATAAACCAAACATTTGAGAATTCAAACCTGAACTCAATCTGAAAGAATGTCCCATGACAACTGCGGAGATTTTTCAAAACAGTGATTGCAGCATCAACATTGGTGCATTCAAGAAACCAACCACACCCTAAATGCATATTTGCTCGTGTCAATTTGACTATAGACCCTACATTGGCAATAGCAAGATTGCAAACAGCCATCAGCTCATCATCATTAAGGGAAGGGGAATTGACATTTGGAAGACAAATCCAAAGTGTGCTTGATGGCTCTCGATCAGCATCCCTCGAAGAAGGAGCCACGCTGCTTCCAGGTACATAGTTGTCAAAATAATTTGGGTTTTGATTAATATTATATTTTGCACGCAATGAAGCAAGTAAGGAAGATAAATTAGACATCCTTGTCCTAGAGTTGTCAGCAGGACTCTGGGGTACATTTTGGGTACGAGGCGATTCTGTTGCACTATTGAACATACTAACTGAGTGATTGGTTCTTATGTCAGCATGGATAGCAGCTGATGCTGATCTTGTACCATCTAACTGAGGCAACACAGCATTAGCTGATCCATCATTCAAAGCAGGCACGTGGTGGAGTTGTCCTTTACGATGCAACCTGAGATGTACCATCACAGCAGTAGCTTCTTCAGGAGTTTCAAACTCCATCAGTACTGCTCCTTCATTGGTGAGATCAGTGACCATGCGTGGCCCTTTGAAAATCACTTTCCTTGATTCATGCAGAATTTCATCCCTAGCCCATTGGCTTGAAATATGTCCAACATAAACATGACAACTGGAACCAACAGCAACACCATTCATAGCACCCCTGGCTCCCAGTCCTATATCCATGAATTTGATCCACCAAGGGAAATGGGCACGCAAATACTCCCGAGCCCTAATGGCATCAAATATGTTCCTATACTCAATCAAGGCAAATCCTTTGACTGGAAAGAAGAAAAATTGTTCTATAGGACCAAACCTCTCAAGCTCATACCTCATATGAGCTTCAGATGCATCTGGACCTAAAGAACCCAACCAAAGCTGTCTAGAAGCAGAAAAAACATCCATTGCAGCTGGGTCCCCATCGCAGAACCAAACAGTTTCAGCTATGGAACCATATGGAGCTGCCAAATGATGTTTAGGAGAAAAAGAATTACTTATGCCTCCACTGGGAGATCTCAAGGCAGGCAGACCAAACTCCATATTTGAAGCTGGATTTTTGCCCACATGGACATTAAAGCTTCTACCATCAAATGAATTGCTCCTGAAGTCTAATGGAGTTCTTTTAGCAGGTGAAAGCACAGATTGGTTTAATAGATCCCTAGGCATGGAAGACCTGCCATGTGAAGAGTCTCCAAGGTGATTCATCTCGAGATCCATGGACCTTGACCCTCCTTTATGATGACCAGTACCTGCATTAAAGGCATAAATCAGTTTCAAGGGGAGGGCTGTCTTTAAGATACTGACCAGAAATTTTCCAGAAAAACCATCATTAAGGGTTCAATCATGAGCATTTAACATACCAGCTGGTTCACCAGAGACTTCATGTTCATTAGACATCCTAGGAACCGGAAATTGTCGATTTACAGATTTTGATGGATCAGAATCATCCCCGTCACTGTCAATTTGACTGTCATCTAGTTTATTGAATTCTGCAAATGATTTACAGATTCCTTCTAGAGCAGATCTAATGTCTGATGCAGCTATAAAAGATGTCATGTTGCACAACTTCTTGTACCTTGAGAACATCCAGTTTCTCAAAGATGCGTTATTGCCAAGGACCTACATGAAAGAAGCCTCAGTACATGAAATTGACAATAGGGAGCACTAGATTGATTTCAGCGCATCCATGCCTAGGCTTAAACAAGGAGATGAATATCTTTGTGAATTATATTTCAATTAGTTATCTTCAACTAGTGGGAAATAACTCCAGTTCTCTCATCTTTACATCCAACTAACCAAGATCTATATGTATTTGAAAAACCTGTGCAATGTATCATAAATATTATATAAAGCATATCATATTGTTACTAACAAAGAAGACACCTAGTTGGTACTGAGTTTGAACCAGAACTGAACAGCCAGCATAAAAAAAAATACAAATTGTATTTTTTTTTAATTAACGCAGCGTATGAAAATCAGGAAAGAAAGTAGAAATTAGGAGTATAACCAGTCTCAACAAGCATCTCTTTGATGAAGATGCATCTTCTGAAACATGGTTACCATCTAAAGGCAACTCGCCCCTAACATCATAGCTTTTGGCACATGGTCCAACAGATCCTTCACGAGAGGTAGTTCCATCACTTGTATTAGCCAGAGGCACAGCATCATCAGCTATAATGCTGGTCACCTGACTAAGAAAATAGTGTCTTTCTTGGACTCTTTCTGGAACAGTTGATTTAAAGAGCTCAAAACACGCAGCAAGCAAATCTTTAGGGCAAGAAAAGAAAATCCAGAGCATACTTAAGGCACACAACTTGGACAATTTAACCAACGAAATTCCATCCTCATCATCAAACTTTTCCTTCAACTCCGAAAAGAGCTTGAGATCATCTTGTATCTTCAAAGTTTCCTTATCAACAATCTGAAAGATATCCTTACCCTCGAACGATGACACAAAGAATGACAACACATTCTGAAAAACCGCAGAGCAAATGCCTCTAATAACAGCTGATGTTGGAGCTTCCAAAGAAGCAGTTCGACAGATATCAACTAAACCAAAAATACATGCTTTAGCTGTCCCCATTGCAACACCATCAAAATCCTCTCCTCTATTTATCACTGCCAAGCTCCAGTTATGCATGTTGATTACAACTTTAGTCGCTGCTTCAAGAGCAGTCGGACAGTGTGAAGCATATCGAGGAATAAGATCAGCTACAATTCGTTGCACACTAGTACAACCTGCAATGCTAGCAGCAAATATATTTTTAGGTTTTTAAGCAAAAAAAACCAAAAAAGCATTAGTGGTGCAATTAAATTGGAAAATCAAACCCTAAACCCTAATTCCACAAATGAGAATATAATTCCAAGTGACTGATTCAAAATTGCTAACCTCTTGAAGCAGTAATGAGTGCGAGATAAGATTGTTCGAGGTCAGGCATGTGACGTCCTTCTTTCTGAGAAACAAACAACTTGAGGCGCTTGTAAGTTTCGTAGACGCTCTTAATCTCATCTCTGTTTCTCCGTCTCGCGTTAATTTCTTCTTGAGAAAGTGGTGGTGCTAAAGTGGTAGGTGACTCGTCCAGAGTTTTTGGTGGAGGTTCTTCTGGTTGTTGCTCGTAGAGCTTCCGCTTCTTGAGTGGCTGCTCTGCAGCGTCCATGGGTTGAGCGGAGCGGAGAAAGATGGCGCGGCCGCGATCTCTGTGGTTGAGGGGTAGTTTCGGGGGTTCGATTGTGACGGAGCGCATCCGTAAAATGAAATTACTCATGTAGCCCTGAAGGCCGTCCGTCGAAAATCCTGCTTGTATTATTTGGGCTAGCACACTTTCGTGGGCCGGATGTTTAAATGAACTTTTTTTTAATTTATTATTTTTTAATTTTCTTTCTTGTGTTTCTCTTATGTAAGTTTGAATAGTTTTAGTTTGAGTATTATAATATTTTTCATTTTTCATTTCATAAGAGATTAAATTCAAATTACAAGTTTATGTAAAAAGCAGTTTTTTAAATTTCCCATAAATGCTCATTAACGAGCAGAAGCAAAAGATGCCTGCTTCTTCAAGCAAGTGAAGGGGCAGGTCATTGGTATGACCAAAAAGCAAGAAGCAGATCAGATGGGATTATAATATAGATAGAGTGATTTGTTTGCTCAGAATAATATATTAAAGGCAGAAATTTATTAATTAGGAGTAAATACACATATTATTTTCTCATTTCTATATAAATTGATGAATTAAAATTAAAAAAATTCAGTAGCTTCTTTCATGCTCATAGAAGCATAGAGAGCTTCTGGTCGAGGCCAATATCTATTCCACTGTAAGCCAGAGGTGCGTACATCCATAGATCATCCGAGCTCAAAAGCTGCAAATAAATATGATCGGATTTTAGCAAAGTGTAATTAGATAAAGAGGAAAAATGATTTATTTGGCAGCATGCTGTAAGAAATTCACAAGAGCCTTTACCTTGATTTGAAGCTGCAAAAACTTTACGTAATGGACTGCCTCTTCTAGCATTGTGCTGATATCAACCTTGGTTCCATTAGGGACAATATTCTGTAGGATTTTCAGTCTCTCGTTTATCCTCTCCCTCCTTTTCTGCAGGATTGTTCGAAGATGTGTGAATATAATGCTCAAGAGATTGCCTTATGTGCTAGTAAATTAATAATCTCTAGTGTCTTACCCTTGCATAAAGGCTCTGGGGATCTGTAGCAGCTCCCCTACTAGCTCTTGTTTTGCCACTGGAACTGAGAACTTCAGAAACTTTGGAATCAGAATCCTTAGATGCATTATCATCTTCTGAACTGCAACTGCTGGAGCTTTGTCCATCTGGTCCAGGATTACTCTCTTCTTCTTCATTGCTAATTTTTGGAGTGGACCTTTGGTTTTTCTTTGACTGTACACTATTCTTTCTCTTTTGCACCTGCAATGCAAGTCACAATAGACAGAACACTTTAGAAACTACTTTTTCAATGAGACAAACTCCACCATAGAAAGAATTATCGTAGACTTGGATTAGTGTACTTACATTTCTTGTAATCCGAGGTTTCTTCTTCATGTCGTCCAATGTATTTGATTCTGGAACATCAAGCTTCCTTTTGAGCTGCAGTCCCTTGGCCAGAACAGTATTAGCAGCTGGCTGCAGATTATCGTCTAAATCTCCTATTTTGTCACTGCTCATATCTCCATTCATCCAGGCAGTTTCTGCCATTGTAATTTCAGGAAAAAATGGCGTCAACAAGCCAATAGTTTTCTCATCCATGAGTGAAATATCCATGGACATGGAGTTATCGTTAGTAGCCTGAATGCGGTTAGAATCATTGAAGAAGTAGGATTCAAGGCTGGAAGAAGGAAGAAATACACCACTGCTACAATTACTGTTATTACCACTTTCTTGAGAATCAAAATGCAAATTGGGGTTGAGAGCGTTCCAAGAATAAAACAAACTCTCATTCCCAGCCATGCTCACGTTGGCTTCAGGAGTGGGGAAGAAAGCTGGTGGGATTGTAAATTGCAATCCTTCGTCATTCTCCTGCGAAAAAGAACACTGATCAAGTAATTCTGGGCTGAAATCAGGCTCTTCCATGGAGAACATTCTGCTGAAGTCCCATTCAACATCAGGAAAATCTCCCATGGTCTGCATATTCATTTTACACTTGGAAGCTGTGGAGAAATTAAGAGAGAGGCTCTTATCCTTCTTTGGTGATGCTACTAATTAATTGAACCTTGATTTCGCTTGAGACAACCAAAACGTTAGAGACATATTTATACCAGTGCACCTTCAAAGAACGTCACTAGCAAGGATTGACTTCATCTTTTATATAAAACTTCAAAATTCCTAATGATTACTCTGGTGTAGGTCCTAATTCTGTTAACTGAACTCAGGAGTCCGTTGTGGGGCCAATACCAGGCAAAGTACAACTAGGCTGGGACCAAGTTCATGCAATGATGGATTAAAATAACAGAGAGGATTCAATGGACTTTCAAGCAACTTATGTCTGATAAACTGAGATTAGGATGACAAAGAGGGTCTAAGGACAATCATTGAGAGGGCGATACTAAACTGTCATTAATTACTCACTAAATGACAAGTGTAATTAGGCAGATAATTAATGAAAATGAGAATGGGAGCATGCGTTTTGAGCACTTGAAAATGTCAGAACGTGGGGTTGTCTTCTGCTCATCTTGAATATAATAAAGAGGGAGAATGCTGGAGGAGAATAAACAAAACGCGGCCGAAGGACGGCTTGATCGTGGAGATGACCGTGAAATTGCTATACAAACACGCAAAACGCCACGCGTTAACCTTTGAACTAGTTCCTGGTCTCCTCAATTGCTGGTTGAACCTAATCCATGTTCCTCAGTTGAAGTTTTGTTTGCAATTTATCAGTATGCAGTTCCTCTCACTACGTACAGAATTCATTACTATCTTGACGTTAATAACACATTTACCAAAGTTATTAAGCCTGGCCTGCGCCATGGCCAGGTCATACATTGGCTTTGATAACTCAAGTCAATTACAACAATCTAATTTAATTTCTTAATAAATTAAAATGATATTATTTTTATATTTTTTTTTAAATTAAATTTTGATCTGGATAGCAGATTGATTAATTAGGTTGTTCATGTTTAACCGGGTTAATTTTCCATTTAAACTCGACTTGGCAAAGTCAGATTGGTATAATCGGGTTTAATAACACCGCTTTTCACCGAAAACATTAATGGGAAAACACAATGCAACATTTACAAATCTTGGCAGCTTTCATCATCATAAATCGCAGAACCACCATGCGTTTATCTTAAGCTAGCTAACAATGGGTGATGAATTGTTCTGCCTTGTTGTCCGTGATTTTCTTTCCGCGTCAACTAACAACCTGTTGTTCATAGAATTAACCTTATTAATCCATCATGGGTAGTGCAATTGTTTTAAAATGCTATATTTACTACACATGCTAGTGCTCTTCTCGTGCATTTGAAAATATATAGATGAGAATCATGGTGAAATAAAATAGAAGATCAGAAGCATCTCAAAAGAAAGAAAAGGAGAAAGAGAATAAATAGCATATCTCTCAACTTAGTGCATAATATCAAGCAGATTCCTTTCCTCTGCTTGTTCATCTGATGTAAGTAAGGTTATTATTTTTATAGCTTTTTTTTAATAAAATTTCAATTATTAACAAAAAAAAAATCAAGCAGATTACAATGCAATGGCTCCAGGTAAACAAAAGAACAAGATCTCTATGGAAACCCAAAAATACACAGCTATAATTAACATCTTCACCACCGCCTTTAAAAAACTGAAGCCCTTGATTTGCCACGAAGCCTCATATATAGTAATCCATTTAGATTACCCAACAGAGCCATGAACACACCCTCCAGCCCCCTTTGATTCCGGCGATTGATACGCAAATTACTTCCACTTGTCAGACAGGGACGTACAGTTTCTCACGTACTTTTCTTTATTAATGCTCTTCTGTTAAACCTAGGTCCATACATATAAAAGGTATCGTTGTACTTTTCAAACTTAACACCGGCCATTGCACGAACCTTTGTAAAAGCCAAAACCCTAAAAATCCCGGGAAAAAAGGGATTTTAAAGCGATAACGATGGAGGGAATAAAATCTACAGATGACAGGACATTGTGGAGGAATAAAAACCACAGAGATCTGATCTTGTTTCCTCCATTGAAGTCCTGGTTAATGCTGTTCAGCCGGCTTGCACGATTAGGATTAGTGTTTTCAGCTCATGCTCTTGTCAAACATTGAAGTTACAGACCATTTTTTCATTAAGAAAATAAAAAAAGTTACCAACCATTTAACAATATGCCTAAATCGACAGCTGTTTCATTGTTTATCAAACTGCGGTAGACAGCTGTTTCATTGTTTATCAAACTGCTACCGCAATATTGTCCTGTCTTGGTTAGAGATGATATACAGTGGTTATTTATGAGTTGAATTTTTTTTTTATATTTGCATCTTATTTATTATTTATTGGATAAAATTTTTGAATATTTATTTATTATTATTTATAAATTAATAAAAAAATAAAATTATATATATATATATATATTAAATAATAAATATTATTATTGATTATATATGTGTGCGCACACGAGCATATATCTTTTATGTCAATATTAAAATATGCATGTATTATATTGTATTAAGAAACAAAACAAAATATTTATTGCTAAAATTCTTAGATTCATTGACAGAATTTTCTATTTGTATTTATAATATTATTATGTTAGCAATGAATTTACCGATAATCTCACAAACAAAATTGCTCTGTTAGTAAAATTGTTATTGGTAATTTTTTGTTTGTGGGTGAGTCTATTAATAATAAAAAATATTTATTATTAATAAATTTATTGACGGAAAACCACGTCAAGAAAAATTTATCAGTTATATTTCATTTATATTTTTCTTATGAAGCTTGTCATATAACAAATAAAAAAACCACATGCAATTTAATTAGTGATTAAATAGTGATATAATAACATTTGTAATAATTTTTTTTCAACTCTTTGTAATAAACTGATGATCTTAATCCATTAATAATATCATTTATAATTATTTAAAATTATATTTAATAGAACTATAAAATAATTAAATTAATATAAATCAACACTCCGTAATAGTTAGAATCTAAGTTGCTTGGAACAAAAAAAATAACACAAAAAAATAACAAATAAATAGTTTGACTAAAAACAATTTTCATCTAATTTAAAAAACCTGTTTCAGAACTCATAATCCAGCAATAAAAAAAAATAATTAAATTGAAATTAAATAGAAAAATAAAAAAAATCCAAAAAAATTGATCTCATATAAAAAATAATCCTGCAACAACATTCATACAATTATCAAGAAAAAAAATTAAAATAAAATAAAATAACATATATAATGGAAAAAACAAAAAAAATCTTATTTTAATATAATTATGAGTGAAGCTGATAAGAGAAAAGAAAAAATTATAAAATATATTAATTAAAAAGAAAGATAAAAAAAAAAAAAAAACATATATGTGCATGGAAGATAAAAAAAGAAGTTGAGAAGAGAATAGAAAAGAAAATAAAAGAATGTTGGTGTTTTTTACATAAAAATAATCATAAAAAAAAAAAATCATCTATTGTAAAATGAAGGATTTTGGTCTGTTTTTTAAGGTATTTTATAAACAATTTTATTAATAAATAATTAAATATTAATATTTTTAATTATTTCATCGATAATATCATATATATATATATATATATATATATGGTTAGCATTTTGTCTCGATATATTTTGTTTCCAGGTCTCCCTTGTCTGCCGCCGCCGCTACCAGCAAGAACAATAACAGGAAGATGGGATTTTTCAAATTCCATCACGCATCTTCATTTAAGCATTTAATTAGAAGCTTAGCTATCAAGGCAAACATGGAGTCACGTATATATGGTCTATTTTTGAAAGCATATATACCACTAAATGCTTAATTATCATACGGAAGGATATTTTGCTTGTCAAAAGTATAATATATATTTGTTGCAAGTCAGTTAACAAAAATTCATTGAAAAATATTTATTATATCGAGGATATTGATAAATTAGTGAGGTGTCAAACATTTTTTTATGGTAGTGAATGTCAAACTTAATTAATTAATTGTTATAAGGATTGAAGTCAATTAAAACAAAAAATTTTCTTTTTAAAATATTTATTACATAGAGGACATTGATAAAACAGTGAGGTGTCAAACCTTTTTTTTTTCAATGGTAGAGAAATATGAGATTTAATTAATTTATCAATATTGCCAAACATTTTTCTCGTGGTTGTTAGTGCCAAACTTTTTTTTTTTTTTCGATGGTAGAGAAATGTCAAAGTTCACCGTATCGAACAAGGGGGGGTAATGAAATAAATGTTAAATTTTAAAACCTCCTGTCTTAGTAAATGCCTAAATGCATACATCATATTTTTCACTTACTTAATGAAAATTTCAAATTTTATTTTATCAGCTATAAAAGTATTTAAGAATATAATAATTATTATTTTTTAATTTTTTTTAAATAATTAAAATGATATTTAAAAAAAATATTTTTTATATCAGTATTTCAAAACAATCCTAGAATACTAAAAAAATAAGTTGAAGTAATTTTCTTTTAATATTAACAAAAAAAGAGAGAGTTACAACTCAGTCTGTAAAACAATTTATACTGATTAATTAATTTAAATAATGAATTGATTAAGTTGCTGGACACTTCCAACTTCCCAGTCATTAAGTCAGCCAGACTGTAGCATTAATCGTTACTTGTTGGTTGATTATCTTAATCAATTTCTACTAATTAATTAGCATTAATTATGGCTGGTTTCTCCAAACTTTTGAAGTCTTAGCATTAACGATAAACAAAAACTGTCGGCATTAATATATATAGTGAACGCATCGAATTATATTTTCATAATGTAAACATGTATTTATATAATCTGCTACTGGAATCCATAAACAAATATTTATTTGCTTAAGAGATAATATTTCTTTATCCTTTTTTTAATTGTTATTTCTTTCTTTATGTGGCACATTTCAACTTCTAGAAAAAGTTGGTATCAAAATACTGTAGAAAGAGCATGCGATGAGAAGAGGTCGTCATACAGGAACACTATTTTTCATAATAGAATGATAGATATATAGAGAAAGAGACGTATATTAAATTCAATATGAATGT